CCCCAGAATTTGTTGTTGTTGCTTGTTGTGAGCCAATTGTTTGTTTAGTGACTTTCCTAAACTGCTTTTGTCAGGATTGTGTTTTTTGTATTGAGTGCCCACTAAAGTCTCTGTTCCATCAGTTGAGTGGTCAGCTGATAATTTGACAGAGATTTCCTTGAACATCTGAAACCAAAAGAAAAAAAAAATTACCCCAGGCTTTGCAGGCTGGTACTCCTTCAAGGCTTAGTGAGGCCATTTGTAGTTCTATCGTAGCCTTCGCTTCCTGCCTATGCAGAGCCTAGGAGTCTGGCAGAAGTGAAAGCTGAAGTGCTTCTTAGGTCTTTTCTAGATTCCCCTGAATAGAGAGAAGTTTTTCAAAGCCTTTATCCTTCCCCAGCCTCTTCCTTCCCAAGGTTATCAATCTGTCTACTGCTTGCCTCATCTGTTGTCCTTGCTGCCCCAGGGAGCGGCAGGGAGTATGTTTGCACTTACAGGCTTTTGATAGTGGGTAGGCCGCTTCAGCCTAGTCCCTCAGGTAGCTACTAGACAGGTCAAGGCACACAGCCACAGTTTTTTGATTCAAGATCCATATTGTTCACTCTGGGCCCAGCAAGCTGCCTCAGGAACATGGGGGGCTATATCGTCATGGACAATGGGCAATGGTAGGTAGGGTAAATTAAAATATCACAATGCTCTCTTTCCAAAATTCAGCAGCTTTTTTTTAATTAAGCATTTCCTTGGTTGTAAGGTTTATTATTATTATTAGATTCCAGAACTCAAAAGAAGTTGATCTAACAGTTCTAGCCATCGCTTTAGCAAAGGGATGGAGTTTTGGAGTTCCCTACTCTACTCTTCTCAGTGACATCTCTTCTCCAATTCAGAGATCATCCTTACTACTATGTGGAATAAAAATGTCACTCTAATGTAAGTTCCAAGAGAACAAGGACCTTTTGATGACCAACATATCTAGCACTGAGAATCATGCGTGGCATAAAGTCACTGCTCAGTAAATATTGTTGAATGAGAGAGCAAATGAATGAAGGAGTGAATACAGAAGAATATAGAGGAACAAGAATACAAGCAAGGGGACAAGACATAGATCTGACTGAGACTTCAATAACAAACACCACAATTTGCTAATACCGTTTGTTTCCTACAAGAAAAGAGAAAATAATTAGTTGCTAGTGACATTAGGCAGAGGAGTTCGGGGACTCTGGATCAGTGGTTATCAACCAAGGGCAATTCCATGCCCCACTCACCCTCCCCCTGGAAACATTTGCCAATGTCTGTGGACACTTTTGGTTGTCAGAGCCAGGGGAAGCGAGGTTTTACCAGTATCTCGTGAATAGAGGCCAGGGATGCTGTTAAACATTCTACCGTACACAGGACAGCCCCTCACAACAAAGATTAGGAAAGCCTCTTGGAACACATAGTGACAATATGTCATTTTAAATCCTCTTACAAGTGGGGCACCTGGGTGGCTCAGTCATTAAGCGTCTGCCTTCGGCTCAGGTCATGATCCCAGGGTCCTGGGATTGAGTCCTGCATCGGGCTCCCTGCTCTTCAGGAGGCCTGCTTCTTCCTCTCCCACTCTCCCTGCTTGTGTTCCTGCTCTCACTGTCTCTCTCTGTCAAATAAATAAATAAAATCTTTAAAAAATAAATAAATAAATAAATAAATCCTCTTACAAGTGTCAAGTTGATAAATAGCAATGTACTTTGTCATCTTTATTAATTAAATAAATTAAAAACATTTCATAATCCAAAATTTATTTGATGTGTAACTTTAGACATAAATTGAAAGCCTAATGAAAATTGTATTTAAAGTATGATTTTTAGATTGATCTTTAAATATGGTTGCGTTCCAGTATTTGGGAAATTTTAATTATGAAATAAAGTAACAAAGTCATATTCTGAAGTTCTAATTCAGAAAGATAACAGAAATAGCTAGAAAACAACGTAACTGTTGTCCTAATGCCAACTCTTACCTGTAGGCTACATGTAGAATGAGAATAACCAAAGGAAATGATTATTTCCACAAATGAATTAAATAAACTGTACTAAGTAATCCCAAATGAAGGAGTATAAAACTTTGGAATGATGTTAAAGTGAGTCAGATGTGAGAGCTGTGATACAATTAAAAGTGCTACGTATTAATAGAGATAGTGAGGAAATGAAGGGAAAATATTTAGTAAGTGCAAAGCATGTTAATATTTGGTGTATTTTCTGAGTCATATTTACTATTTATATCTTATCTAGTTCAAGATTCATTTTTGTTGACCATGCTTACCATTCTGAGCTATGTCAAAGGTCCATGAAACCATTACTTTAGAAAGTTATTCCTATTGAATGGGACAGGCAGTTCATATTTTAGACTTTCTTTACATAGACAAAGGAAGCTTAGTATCTTAAAATAATCAGTTATGGCAGACTTGCAGAACTCTAAGGCCAGAGAAGAGATGGTGTCCCAAGCATCCCAACGCCTGTTAGAAGTACTCTTGGATGACGGCCACACGCATGAAACTTGACCCCCGAAAGGCTGAAGTGATGAGAGACAAAGGAAAGGATTTTGGAAAACTGGCCAAGAACATGACAACCTCTGAGATCAAAGAAATGTTCTAGGCGATATGTGCCTGAGAGTGTTAATGGATTCTTTACTGCTTCTTATGCCTTCTACTTTTGTCTGCCAGAATTTCACTTTGTCCTTCTTCAACAGAGCAGACCGTGCACGCTTTTTTGGAATCGTAAGCCCTGGTTAATCTTGATTAAGCTGAAGTGAACCCTTATCTAATACTTACCAAAAAAAGATATTCTTAGGTTTAAGCTGATACTTAAAAGTGGTGCTCTCCCTTCTGAGACCATAAAATAGCTATGGTTGTTGAGCATCTCCTGTGTCCTAAATACTGGACTATTGCACTTTAAGGACATTAACTCACAGGTGCTTTAGAACAGCTCAGTGAAGTTGGTCTTGTTTATCTCCATTTTAAAAAATGAAAATAGAGACTCAGAGAGTGTCAGTAACTTGCCTAGAGTCACACAGAATTCATATTCACATCTGTAGGATTTCATTGGCCATTTCTAATTTAAAAACTGAGTTTTTGAGAACTTCCTGTCCTACGTGTTAATTACTTATTCATAAATGAATCTTACACTTCAATGTTTTTTTCACTTTTTAATTTTTTTTTTATATGGGTATCATTGACACGCAATGTTACATTAGTTTCAGGTGACCAACAGGGTGATAGGATAAGTCTGCACATTATGCTATGCTCACAAGTATAGCGCCTGTCTGTCACCATAGAGCATTATTGCAATACCACTGACTATATTCCCTATGCTGTGCCTTTCATCTCCGTAACTTACTCATTCCATAACTGGAAGCCTGTTTCCCCCACTCCCCTTCGCCCATTTTGCCTATGCCCCTCCCTACTCTCTCCCCCTGGCAACCATTAGTTTGTTCTCTGTTGTACTTTAGTATTTTATTTAGAAGACTTGATTATAAATGCTCAAATTTCCATCAGTTTATATCTTATTTTGTAAAAGATACTGTGATGGGTGCTGAAGATAATACACAGTATGAATTGTGCCCCTTGCCTCAAATAGCTTATAACCTAGCTGCTTATAGAGCAGCTGTAGATTTCAGAACTTGAGGAAAATGTGAGGGAAGTGCAATTAGCCAATAGTCGTCTTAATGTATGCATCCCTTTTCCCTGCTTGGTAGTTCATGAATTCACTCACAATAAGCTTCCTAATTAGAAGTGGCTTGTCTGGACTAGGGTATTCCTATCCTTAGCAGATCCTTAATACATATTTGTAGAAGATGAAAATAATAATAGTAACAACTCCATTTCTGACTACCTTAACCTGCTTGTTCAAATGTTGCTGCAGTAGCTTACAGAGGAAAGAAAAAGGGTTTTTGCAGTAAGAATATAGGGATTTTGTACAATAGCCACCTGCTTTGAGATCTAGTATTTAGAAAAATGTAATATGTACTTACATTTCTGTAAAGCATTAAAATATGTCTATTTATTAACTCATTTTCCTCTCAGTTTTTTTTTCAGATGTCAACAATTTTATTGTAGAAAAGTTAGAAAAGACAGACTTTTTTATTATTTGTTAAAAGCCTATAATTAGTAAAAGAAATAAAATTAAGCAGCAGAGAGGGAAGGTAGAAAAAGATGATCATTCATAAGAAGAAAAAGAGACTCAACCAAAGATATAAGCAGAGAGAGAAACTTGAAGAAAGAGGTGTGTGGGCCCTCGTTCTAAGTGCTCCTTGGAATTCGAGCTGGTGGCTATCACGTCATTAGGAATGTTGACTTGTAATGTGAATCTAATCTGGTTTTAAATTTTTTCAGTTTCTAGAAGCAAAAGACCTTTAAGTTGGTAAAGATTCTTAAACTGGAAGGTCCTTCTATGTCCAGTTTTCTTTAGATCTCACAAATTTTTCTGTGTTTGCTCTAGGCATAATTGTTAAACATAGAATTTTAGAGCTAGGTGATATTTCAGAGACAGTCTTAGTTCCTGTGCATGACAAGCAGTTACTGTAACTCAGGAAGTTCGGTGACTTTCCTGAGGTTACCCAGCTGGTTTGTGTAAGCCAACCACTTAATCTTTTTAACAGATTGGATTCTAATATACAGGATGAAGTTGTTTCAGGAAGGACATAATCTATTGACTTTCTGAGACCATTGTAATTTGTTCTTAAACTTAGTTCAGTGATCTGCCTTGTTCTGTTTCTGTCTTGTTTTTGTAACATATTCATAGTTTTAGTTTTTCAACATTATCAATAGAAAGTTAAGTGGATATATATTGAAAACTTCTAGTTTGTTTTTATACAAGTATTAAAAAGCATTTTTTTGTTGTTGGTTACTCTCACTAAGTCTTTCTGACATTCATGAACAAAGTTGAAGCAAAAATAGGAAACCTTTCTATTTTCAGTTTTAATCCTCTCAAGCTTACCTAGTAACTCAGTGGGTATACTAATTGAAAAGAAACATTTTTTTATATTTTTTTTAGGTGTAATCCCTTTCCATGGATTTTCAATGTATGGTAAGTTGAGCTTTAAAATATTCACTGTTTTTATCACACTTTAGAAAATTAAACATGAAGATCACACTTTATACCACATCACCCACCCACTTAACAAGTTATTGTGAACATTTTTAAACACTGAGTTTAGTATTTGTTTATATCTCCAATTAAATTTTTTTAAAAATTAAGGGTCATCACGATTTGTCAGATGATGATTGCTTAACAAATTAAAATTAGAACATATTGTGAAAGTGCTTCTGTGTTGACCAGGTTCTAATCTGAAGGAAACTAGAGATACATGTTAATATTTAGTTCTCATAGGTGGAAAATGAGGTTGCTTAAATTCCTGAACTAATTCTCCTAAGTCTTTTAAACAAATAATAGGTCAGAAAGAATGTGAAGGGAGGGCCAACACTGAGTTTGAGTCTATGCTTTCTCCAGACTGCTGGCAGAGACAGCAGGTTTCACTGAAGGCTCGCATGTCTTGAGGGACCATGTGAAAAGCGCATGTGCAGGCGTGAGAACCCTGAATGCATTTCCGTCCTCAGGTGTCACTGAAGGAGGAATGCAAGAAACTTGATGAAGATGAGCAAAAGGAAGAATGCTCTACCCCTTAATGCAATTTAATTTTTAAATTGTCACACATTACATATAAACATGTTGAAAAGTGTTGTCACCCCAACTGTTACCTCCCCACCTTTACACTAAACAGAAATACCTTAATGTTTTACTTTTATAAAAAGAATCAGCGACACGTTAACACTTCTCTTTGTAAAAGCCCCTCTGTGTTCAACATCAGACAATATGGTGAATGGCATAACCTAAGACTTTTAAAACTAGCAGACAACGAAAAGGGTTCGGAAGACCTAGGAACTTTGCATTATGCTACCCTTGATGGTGTTGATCACAGGCTTGAATTACAAGGCACTCTGCTTTATTCTCTTGAGCAACCAAAATTTCATAACATAATACATAACGTTATAATGACCTTTCAGCACATTTCTCTTTTATAAATATGTGAGGAATTTAAAATAAAAAACCCCAAAAAGGTTAAGAATATAAATTTTTAAATCTAATAATAAAAGTGTTAGCCTGTTATCTGTCTATTTTAATTCCAACTGCGAGAATTTTTCAAGTAAACAGTTTTTAAAAAGTGAACTTGAGTGATTTGGAGGACATTAATGATGTCATGAAGGTTTAAATCTAGCGATTCTTAGGGAACAAAATACATCATTGACTCCGACTCTGCTTATTCACACGTCTGGTCACTTAAGTAGGCTAAGGTCTAATGTTCCTAAGGAAGTAGATGAGGCAAAATGTTTGATACAGTTTCTTTGTACGTGAAGCAGCCACGCACCTTAGCAACAACACTTACTCAGAACCAGTATACACCAGAATAACCGGAAAGCGTCCCCAAGGGACGCCGCGTCGTGCTTTGCTACTTCAGGTTTAGCTTCTGTGTTTCTTCAGAATTATACTACTTCTCTCATTTAAAAACTGATTCAAAACTTTTTATTTTTAAACTGGCCTTCTCCTCTCCCGTTTATGCAGATTAATGAAGTTATTGTAGGTATAGTGTGTTAATGATTTCACAAAGAAATTCCTATGGTAGCATATTTAATTGATTAAAAAGATAATGAGCTAATTCATTTTTATGGAAGAACAAAATAGGGAAATGTGCTTTAAATAGAAAGTAAACTCATGTAGATTTCTTACATATCACATTATAAAGGACTAAAGTCTTTTCCATTTCATAGCTATATAAAGGAATTCAACACAAACAGTAGGGGTATCTTGAATAATAACTGATTGTAGAGGTTTTGTATTATACATGTTTGTAAAAAAAGTGCTGATTTTAAAATTCTCTTTTATTCCTTCACTAGAAATGATAATTAATGAGTACTGAACCCATAAAATCTTTAGACTCAGATTTTAGGTTTTTACATTTCAATAACTTTCAAAGTTAAAGGAAAAAATATGCCTAAAAAGGTAAATAAATTTCAGAGCTTCACTTTGAATTTATAATAATGCCATGTATTTATTCCACATTGCTTTTTCTTAGGTTGTTGCAATTGGAATATGAATTATTCTTTTTAAATATGTAGAATACCTTAATTTGGGCTATTTTAATAAATAGCAATTTATTTTGGTAGTAAAATAAGTTTTTAAAGTTAGTTTTAAAATGGAAAGTTATGCCTGTCAGTTTTTGAATGTGTATGTATATAATGTAATTTTTTTCTCTATATATAAAAGTAGCTTATTTTTGTAGGTATTTATTTACTCCCCTAAAATTGATTTCTCTCTCTTTTCCCCTTCAGAAAAAGTGAAATCTCTCCCTTGCAATGCTAGCTTTTGATGATTTACTCATCTGTAATACTGTGCACTGCCATTTATTCCAGATAATTGAATTTTTATATTTGTAAGAATTTAAAATTTTTTAAATCATTTTTCCTTTCACTTTGTCAAAAGGAATTGAGTTGAGTTGGCTTATTGCTTTCCCTGATAACTTAATACCTACTGCCCTCAGGGGCAGTACTGATGGATTATGGAGCCTGAGAATTTCTAACTTGTCCGTTTTATATCATAGCTAAGATTACTCAGTAAGTTACTGTGTTTTAAAATTAATATTTAGGTAGTACAGTTTTATGTATCTGCATTGTAAATATGTTCATGCTGCATAAAATTCTCAAGGTTTGAAAAGATGAGAAGCATGACCATGTCAGTCCAGAATAATCATGTTGTCATATCAGCATCTGAGATTAGGACTTTCTGATATTCAGTTGTGGGATGTCTGATTGAGTTGACCCACCTGTGCTTAATTGCCAAGAATTGGTGCAAAGGAGAACTTAATTCAACATTCATTAGAGAAATAAATCCTCTGCCTGAGAGTTGTTTTATTATGAGTCCATAAAAACTGTCTTTGTACATGTGAGATACGCCAGTCTCAAGGACTAATAGTCTAAACTGTTAATCAGAATTTTTATTTTCAAATTGAATGAGTTGAAGACCATGATTCTAAACGCTAGTCATAAATCATCTTGTATTTTACTTACCTGACTTCCAAAATAAAAAACTTTGAAAAACTTTCTGGATCCTTTGTGGACAAAGTGAAAATGAATTGCCTGTGTCTCACTTTCTTACTATTTCAATTAAAAAAAAAGAGACTTGACTTTACATAGATTTTAAAGTTACTTTGAATTTTTAATATCCCTCTATATGTAATTCCATTGTGTCATTCCGTTAAGTTGGGATTATGGTAGTTTTTAATTACCCCTTTCTTTATAATTTTTAATGACTGAACTTTTTACATGTGTATATATTTCCTTTTCAACATGAAGAAGCAATATATATGACTTTAAACTTGTCTTTGAATGAATATTACTATAAAATACTGATTTATTCTTTCATGTTTCATTAATTTATTTTCTAAAGTTTTAATAGTTCTGCAACGTTATCGATTAATTTCTTTATTCTTTCAGTTGCACCGCTTTGTTTTCTCTACCATGAACCTTCCAAATTGTATCAGATATTCCGTGAGATGTATGTGCGTTTCTTCTTCAGACTCCATTCCATCTCTTCTCATCCTTCTGTAAGTTCATAAAAATTAGATCAAATTAGACTCTAATCTGTTTTCTTTCCTTAAGAAAAAGTTTCTTACTCAGTTAAATTATAAAGCAACAAATTTTAATTTGTGATGTCAAGCATTCTACAGAATAAATGAAAGAGGGCGCCTGGGTGGCTCAGATGGTTAAGCGTCTGCTTTCGGCTCAGGTCATGATCCCAGGGTCCTGGGATCGAGTCCCACATCGGGCTCCCGGCTCAGCGGGGAGCCTGCTTCTCCCTCTGACCCTCGCCCCTCTCATGCTGTTTCTCTCTCGCTCGCTCTCTAAAAAATAAAAAAAAATAAAAAATAAAAAGAATAAATGAAAGAGAAGAAATTGATATTTAAATATTTATGGTGATAATTAGGGAGGAAAAGGGTCTTGATCAGTTGTACTTACATTATCTTTTATATATTAACAGAAAACACATATAAAAATGTCTGTATTATTGACAAGGATGCCTACCCTCTTTGAGCACTGACATCCTCATCTAGGCAATGAGGTTAATACGTCTCTGTAGGGCTACAGAGCGCCATGGTAACACTTGGCTCCTGGCGGGTGTTCAGTAAATAAGTGGCTGCTGTTTTTATTATTGTTGTTGTGATTATCATCGTACTTTCTTCTTTGTTAATGAAAATCAAACATTTATTTGTCACTTGTTTTTCAGTTTCATATTTGACTAATTGTCAGTTACCATAGATACTTTCTTTGTGTTCAGTAGATGGCTCTGTTGACCTCAATATGAACGTCCAAGAGGAGCCGATTGGGAGTCGAACATTTTTATCTATTTCATGTTGGCTGGTCCCTTATCACATCTTTTTTTCCCACCCATGAGCCTGAGTAAAAACAGTGTTTATTTTACTTTAGTTATCCTTTTTTCACCTTTGGGCCTGCTGTGGTCTACTTGCGGATAACTCAACTGACTCTCCGGAAGAAACACTAAATTGGAATGTATCGGGGCTACCAGATTTCCCTGAAGAGAAGACTCTGTCACTGCTATTAAACTGAATCGCTTTTCTTTATCCTGCACAGTTTAACCCTGTGTATTCCTAGTCCACCTGCCTCAGTCTCCGACTTTGCTCTCCTACATTGCTAGTAAAAACTGACAAGTAACAGAAATCCAGGATGTCTCTGATGAACAAATGAAGCACCACCAATTATCTTGGGTTCCTGTTCTCTGAGACAAGTAGAGTTAGTGCTTATCTTACATTAATTTTTTAGTCTAGAGTAATCAGAAATATACAAATAATTTTGTTTTCTAATAACCTAATTTTTAGCCTCAGATTTCTTACTCTCATATTCTGTATCATTTTATGCTTCAGAGTTAAAAAAAAAATTTTTTTTAGCTGGCTGCCCAGTATACACCCATAGTATTTTCCTTATGCAGAGCACTGAATCTTGACATCGAGCAACCCTGGATATTCCTTCTCTAGCTCCATGCTGACCTTGAGGTGTCCTTTCTCAGTGAATTGGTTGGGTCAGCCCTGCCTCTTGCCTTTCTTTATTCAGTGGAATAGACTTACAGGCAGTCAGCTCCTTTTCTGGCTTGTAGCCAGACTGAACTATTTGGAACCATGCCAGCCTTTTTTTCCTTAGAAACTCACAAAGAGGATTAAAACTTCCTCACAAAGATCAACCCTGAGGAATGTTGAGCTACAAGAAAGACTTTATTCAGAGTTGTCAAGTAATAAACACACTTGAAAAACCATTTGCTTAAATTTGTTACTTCTTGTCCTCTACAAATAATGCCCTTATACAAAGTAGATTTCAATAAATATATATATCTCTTTATACTAAGGTAATGAAACATGCTTGTTTGATAACTTCCTGATGCAAATTTCAAACAGTCTGTAGTCAGTCTTCCGCTGGGAATGGATTTCAAAGAAAGAGTGAGAAAAGCAGGAAATATTTTCCTGGATGGGTGAGGCAGCCGGAAGGGAAGGGACATATGGAGGGAGAGAGTCAAGGGTGTGGCTATAGTACCAGAGAAATACCTGGAAATTGGAATGCAGCCAGAAAAAACTAGTTTGCTGGACATAAGTGATAAAACAGGGCTTACAAAGTAGCAGGTTTTCTATAAAATGATGTTTTCCTTGGATTCTCTGAATATTATACACCAGGTTTTATGGGGATCCTATTGTGTTAAAAAGGAGGTTCCTTAGCATACCTATAATAGTAGGTATACATAAATAGGGGGAAAATGTATCTTAAAGTATTAGAGGGGCGCCTGGGTGGCTCAGTTGGTTAACCAACTGCCTTCGGCTCATGATCTCAGGGTCCTGGGATCGAGCCCCTCATCGGCTCCCTGCTCTGCAGGAAGCCTGCTTCTCCCTCTCCCACTCCCCCTGTTTGTGTTCCCTCTCTCACTATGTCTCTCTCTGTCAAATAAATAAATAAAATCTTAAAAAAAAAAAAACAGAAAGCATTAGAGATCATTATAGCATTTCCTGTTTTTTACTCTTAGAAAATATAAAAATATTTATGTTGATAATTTTTTCCTCATTTCCATTTGAATAACTTATTGCCAGAGTTAATTTTTAAACACTAAAATATGTATTTCTCTTATGTTTTGTTATTATATCCAGGGTATTGTGTCCCTCTGTTTGCTGTTTGAAACTCTTCTTCAAACCTATCTCCCCCAGCTCTTCTATCATCTACGAGAAATTGGGGCTCAACCGTGAGTACCTTTCTCTCCTAATTGAAGAATAGATTGACATCAGAAAGTTCTGTTACATCATTGTAAAGCACCTTTGAAGATACAGTAATCTTTAGAGAAATTAAACTAACAATTTCTCCAATAAAACAAAAATTATCAAGTAATAGAGTGTAGCTCTACATTGTGCCAAAAATTCTTAGAAGAATTTCCAAAATCCTAATAAATTCTTATTTGCTGAGATTTTTGTGCCTGATGTAAGAGTCACTAAAATGAACTAATTTCTATTCATAAGGAAAGGTGTTGGCCAAAATTGAGGCAAAAATTTGTGAACACAAATACTACATAAGAAATGTGATAATACTAAAATTAAGTCATTTTAGGCTAAATTTTTCAGAGAACAACTTAATGAAAGCTATATAGGTTAAAGTTTGCTGTCTTTTGTTAAAGGAAACTAGATCAATTAACCTAGTAATGATTGTACACTGATTATTTTGTTCTAAAAGTTTGAACATTTGTTCATTTATCTCCATATGAGTTATCAGTGAACATGTAGGTATGGTACCTCTGGACTTCAATATTATTGGTTCTCTTCTCTTTTTTATAAAAATAACAATGTCTAAGGCAACAGAAGTTTCTAAATGATTTATTAATGTTTTGTCACTGTCTTCCCCTCTGTGAAACCAGTTTCCCCTATTGGCAGGCATATTTGAAAGGAACATTAACTCTTTGAGACCACAAATGTAGTTAATGGGAAATACAATAGTTTAGTTTACTCCACACTTGAATCTACATCAGATGGATGGATGGACGGATGGATGTGTGGGTGGGTTTAAGAGACAGACCAGGATTTAAATTCTATCTACTAAACTGCATAATCCTGATAAAGTTATTTAATTCATCTAAGTCTCATTTTCTTTCTTTAAATCAAGATAATTCAACTTCCTCATCTTTAAAATCAAGAGAATTCCTACCTCATGAAGTTGTTTCAATAGTGAAGGATTTTATACATACACATAAAATTTTATACATATATATATATGTACTTTCTCTAAAGCACTGTTGAATTTCAGACATCTTAGATCTTAGAAATACCTTTTATAAAACACTACTTCATATCACCCATCGATAATACTGAGATTATACTCTTTCCTTTGTAGCCATTAAAAAACAAGATTCTGCAGGCACCTGGGTGGCTCAGTTGGTTAAGCGACTGCCTTCGGCTCAGGTCATGATCCTGGAGTCCCTGGATCGAGTCCCGCATCGGGCTCCCTGCTCAGCAGGGAGTCTGCTTCTCCCTCTGACCCTCCCCCCTCTCATGTCCTCTCTCTCATTCTCTCTCTCTCAAATAAATAAATAAAATTTTTAAAAAATAAATTAATTAATTAATTTAAAAAAAGATTCTGTTAATGATTAAGATTATAAAACAAGAATGTGGCAGAAATATTTTATATTGCACATAAGTCTTTTTTTCTTAAACTTGTAGTAAATTGGCCTCTGGTTTTACTCTTGTGCGATGAATATTTGTATATGATGAGGCTTTACTAGGATGAAGACATCTAGTTTACTGCTAGAAACTAAACTGATTTTTTCTAGCTATTTATGTACTTTAATCATGAAAAGGAACAAATTTATTTCAATGACTTATGGCAAACATTAAAATTCTTATGCAGAAGAAAGTATAAAAATTTAATTGTCAAGCTAGAAATCAATTTTTCAAAGGCTTTTATGAATTAGAACTGATACTGTTGAAGGTTTTTAATTAGAATTTAACTTCTTCAGTAGATAATAGGACTATTCAGGTTATCTATTTCTTCTTGAATAAGCTTTGTACTTTGTTCATTTAATCTAAGTTATATTTATGGACATAAAGTTATTCAAAATATTCCCTAAATATTCTTAATTAACCTTTTAATATCTAGAGAATCACAGTGACCAACACCTCTCTCATTCTTGAGATTGATATTTGTATCTTCTCTCTCTTTTTTCTTGATTGTTTGGCTAGAGCTTTATTAATTTTATTCTTCTTTGAAAGAACCATGTTTTGGTTTCTTTGATTTTCTCTATTATTCTCTCTTTAACTTCATTGATTTATGTTCTTACATTTATTATTTCCTTCCTTATGTTTGCCTTAGGTCTATTTTGCTCTTGTCTTCTTGTTTAAGGTGAAAGATCATTAGTTTGAGACCTTTCTTCTTTTCTAATATAAGCAATATTATTATAAATTGCCTTCAAAGCACCACATTACCTCCACACAACAAATTTTGATATGTTGTGTTTTCATTTTCATTCAATTCACAATGTTTTTTCATTTCTTTCTTTCTTCCTTTCTTCCTTCCTTCCTTCCTTCCTTCCTTCCTTCCTTCCTTCCTTCCTTCCTTTCCTTCTTTCTTTCTTTCTACTTTCTTTCTTTCTTTCTTTCTTTCTTTCTTTCTTTCTTTCTTTCTTTCTTTCTTTCTTTCTTTCTTCTTTCTTTCTCTTTCGAGAGAAAGAGAGCATGCATGAGAGGGGGATGGAGGGGTGGGCAGAGGAAGAGAGAGAATCTCGAGCAGACTACTCCCCCGCCCCCCGAGCATGGAGCCTGATGCAGGGCTCCATCTCACAACCCTGAGATCATGACCTGAGCCAAAATCAAGAGTGAGGCACTTAACTGACTGAGCCACCCAGGCGCCCCTTGAAGTGTTTCCTAATTTCTCTTGTGACTTTCTCTTTGACCATGGGTTATATAGAAGTGTGTTGTTTAATTTCTAAATATTTGGAAAGTTATGATATCTTTCTATTATTGATTTCTATTTTAATTATGTTACAATTAGACAACATGCTTCATAAGATTTCAATTTTTTTAAATGTGTCGGAGTTTGTTATATGGCCCAGAATGTGACCTGTCTTGGTGAATATTCCAAGTACATTTGAAAGGAATTCATATTCTACTAGTGTTCAGCAGAATTTTCTGTAAATGGCAACAAAGTCAAGTTTTTGATAATGTTCAAGCCTTTACAAACTTAATTTTCTGTCTACTTTTTCTATTAATTGTTGAGCAAGAAATGGTAGTCTCCAATTATAATTGTGAATATGTCTATTTCTTCCTTCATTGCTATATATATTTTTACTTCATGCATTAGAAGCTCTGTTTTTAGAAGAACTGATCCCTTTATCATTATTTAATGTCTTTATTCCTGATAATAAATCTACTGTGTTTGATATAGCCATCCCAGCTTTCTTTCAATTACAATTTGTATGGTGTATTCTTTCTGTCCTTCTACTTTTAATGTATTGATTATTGATTTCTTTATTTTCTAAGTGCCTTTCTTGTCAAAAGTATAGTTGGGTCTTCCAGTGCAGCAATTTGTCTTTTTATTGGAGTGTTTATTCCATTTACATTTGTAATTGATTTTATTGAATTAAAGTTATATCAATTGGTACCATCTACTATCTTGGTAGACATTTTCTATGTCTTTTTTTCTTTTTTTTAAGATTTTATTTATTTACTTGACACAGAGAGAGTGAGGGAACAAGCAGGGGGAACGGCAGGAAGAGAGAGGGAGAAACAGGCTCCCTACTGAGTGGAGAGCCCAATTCGGGGCTGGTTCCCAGGACCCTGGAGATCATGACCTGAGCCAAAGGCAGCAGCTTAACCAACTGAACCACCCAGATGCCCCTATTTGTCTTTTTTTATTCTTTTTTTCCTCTTTTCCTGCCTGCTTTTGAATTGAATATTTTTTATTACATTTTATCTCTACTATTGGATTATTATTTATACCTTTTTTTTTATACCTTTCTTAAAACATTTTTTTGATAGATGCCTGTCTTAGTTCAGTCTGCTATAACAAATTACCATAAACTGTGTGGCTTATAAACAACAGAAACATTTCCCACAGTTCTGAAAACTGAAAGTCTAAGATCAAGGTGATAGCATGGTTGAGTTCTAGTGAGGACCCTCTTCTAGGCTGCAGACTGCCGACTTCTTATTGTATTCTCACATGGTTGGAGAGCAGAGCAGAGAAACAAGCTCTCTCATGATTCTTATGAAGGCACTAATTACCAACCCTGAAGGCTTCACCCACATAACTTCATCTCATTCCAATTACCACCCTAAGACCTTTCCTAATACCATGACACTGGGGGAGAGTTTCAGCATATGAATGGAGGGGTGGGACAACAGAAACATTCAGTCCGTAACAATGTCCTGGGGTTTACAGTATACATTTTTTAATTAATCACATTCTACCTTCAAAAAAACTCCAGGCCTGGATGGCTTTACTGGTAAATTCTGCCAAACATTTCAGGAAAAAATATTCTTTCTCTCTGTCTTCAGTTCTCAGCAGTTTGATTATGATGTAGCTGGGCATGGATTTCTGTTGTGTTTTTCCTGTTTGGGGTTCTCTGAGCTTCTTGAATCTGTAAGTTTATGTCTTTTGTGAAATTTTCAACCATTATTTCTTCAAATATTTTTTTCTGCGCCATACTTATTCTCCTTTTCTTCTAGGATTCCAGTGATACAAATGTTGAAACTTTTGGTCTCATCCCAGAGGTCCCTGAAACTCTATTCATTTTATTTTCAATCCTTTTTACTCTATGGTTCTGATGAGACACTTTCTATTGATCTATATTCAAATTCACTGGCTCTTTTCTCTGTCATTACCATTTTGCTATTAGATCTATCCAATGAGGGATGTTTTTTGATTTGTTTTTGCTATTGTATTTTTCAGTTTTAAAGTTTCCATTTGGTTCTTAACAAAACTCATAGAACTGTGCGTTAATAAGGGTGAATTTTACTATCCATAAATTATACCTCAATAAACTATTTCTAAGAAACTAATTCTGCACTGTATATGGAGGGGGCACAATGTGTGGTGCTATTGTCCTAATAAGACACTATGAGAGATCCAGTAAAATGAAACTGGATGACATTAATAATTTAGACTTAAAAGTCAAATGATCTTTTTAAATTTAAAATATCTGGTGGCCAAAACTTTCTTCAGCATTTATAAACAGATATTCTAAAACCAACCAAAAAGTTTAATTTGTCAATACTACTCACTACATGTACTTTGTTATATTAGAATAATAGTTATCTAGTCTTGAGGAATTTCTGAAAACTTGGGGGTGTTTTTTGGTCTTAAAAGAATTAATACCACATCAACAATGGCAATCTCTAGGTCCCTTTCTCTTGCTTTAAGAAAATAACACAGATACTTATCTACATAATATTGTAACAGCTCCAGCAAAGAGTTTGCCTAGCACCACTCAGGGGCAGTCAAGTGATGTTTAGATGCTAATAGATAGTACAGAAGTGTGAGGGACTGGTTTCTCTCATAAGGCACCAAAGCTACAGAGTTCATTTCCTGATTTCAGAGAGAAATTATTATTGTAACATAATCTACTTGTAAATAATGGAGTTTCATATCTCTTAGGATTTTTTTTTTTTTTTTTCAAAATCAGTTGAATTTTCTGGTTGACCTTTCAGAGTTCTGCTAACCTCCCCTTTAAAATGAAGGGTTTGAAATCAGAAATCTAGTTCTAAGGTCCTTTATAGCTTTAAAACTATTTTTCTTGGTCTTCAAAGACTCCTGCCTATTGTTTTATTTTATTCATCCTTTGTAGCTATTTGACTGAAAAATGGGATATAATTCATTGAATTGGAAAAGTATACAGCTACCAAGTACTCTTTTAAGTATTTGGAATAAAAATTCAAATAATCATGATTCAAACTATGAAGAACTGTTGACTCTTAAGACCACCTCATTGATAGCTAATTAGTTCAGACCCTGAAAAACAGAACATAGAAGTGAGTGAGTTTTCCAAAGGCTGAACTATAACATAGCAGATATAATTTTTCCTCTTAATATGTTGAGACCACTAATTTGAAGACTCATGGTTTCTCACCATTGCCCTTCTGCAGCGTTTAAGAGAGCATGTAAGAGGGCGCCTGGGTGGCTCAGATGGTTGAGCGTCTGCCTTCGGCTCAGGTCATGATCCCAGCGTCCTGCGATCGAGTCCCGCATCGGGCTCCCTGCTCCTTGGGAGCCTGCTTCTCCCTCTGCCTCTCTCTCTCTCTCTGTCTCTCATGAATAAATAAATAAAATATTAAAAAAAAAAAAAAAAGAGAGAGCATGTAAGATGTAAATGCATAGGTGATTTCTAAGCCTCACAGAGAAGTTACCCAAACAATGAATTGGTTGGCTCTTCTGATATTGCCTTTTTGTAATAAGAAAGCCACTAGTAAAATGTATTTTCTTTTTTCTTTGTTTACAGACTTCGCATATCCTTTAAATGGATGGTTCGAGCTTTCTCTGGATACTTAGCTACAGATCAACTCCTGCTTTTGTGGGACAGAATCCTAGGATACAACTCTCTGGAAATTCTTGCTGGTAATAAGTGCTTGTTTGTAAAACACACGTTTCTATAGTAAAGCCCCTTTCCTTTCTAACATTCATCATCTGTAATTGCAGTTTGAGTCTATAGTTATTTGTCGTTTTTAACTCATAAATATTTAATAGATCTATCTGCCTTAGAAAACAAGTACTGAAGGTCTGAGATCTAGATACTTATGTGTAACATCCCAACACTAGTGTATTCCTCGTCTTTCTTCTTTGCTCCCAGGGAAGTCCATTTCTCCTCCCTCGTTTCTAGTTGAGCAAGGGCTTACTATCCCTCAGCACCTGTGAGGTCCGTGTAGCATGTACACTGAAGTTCTGTTCCTGGCTCCCCAGATATCTCAGCGTCTGTTCTGTGCCCCTTCCCAACCACTGCCTAAAATCCAGACTGACACAGAGCCTCCCTACAGAATGGAAATCTTAGCTCTTTTGGACTTCAGCTTCTACTGAATTCGAAACCTTTTCCTTTTTGCTAACAGTCTCTGACTCCTGGTGATTGAGTTTCCCCTTTTAGGTATTCTCTTAAGCCAAAAAAAATTTTCATCTTTTTTCAGGAAGCCACAGATTTATCTCTTATTTATAATTAAGCAGTTCTTACAATAGATATACACACAAGACAACTGTAGGATAATACATAGGGCACAGATTTCTTATTAATTATATTATTTTGCTTCTCTTATACAAAATAGGCTCAGTTATTTTTAATCATTGGGATTATCAGGAAATTCAAATAAATAGCACAAGGTTTTCACAACAATGAGTGGAGAGCAGAAAAGTTGGCAGAATGCTGGGTCCAACCTTCTCCAGTTGTGTAATATTGAATAAATTATTTGACCTGCGTGAGAACTTCGTTTCCTTACCTTATACTGATAGCATTGTGAAGACACCTCTCTGGGTTTGTGGAAATAATGCTTAATTGAAGAAGACCCTTTTCTTGCAGAAGGTTGTTTAGGTACCATATTAAAATATTCTTGAATGCTGAGAGGTCTAGAGTAATTGTATGGCATTTCAAAAAGGAAAATTACAGTAATAATAAAGTGCCATGAAGATAAACATCACCCTTGGTGTAATCAGAGATCCCACTTACTGATGTTAACAATTCCTACTACCTTTCTATCTCAATTGGGTTTTAAGCCCACACAGATATGACTTAGGAAAGAAGGGTCTGCCCTCATTTCCCTTGGCTGAATGGCAGTGATACTTATAATCTAGAAGTAGAGGAATTCTTTGACTTCTTTTAGATGTTTCTGATAGGCAGTTCTCATCCTCTGCTTGAACTCTCAGTGTTGGAGTCCTTGTCTGACAACATAGCTTATTTCACTTCTGGACAATATACCTTGTTAAAATGAACTCCTGTTACACCATGGTCATCATCATGTTTTTTCTACTCTTGCCTTTCCCCAAAGCTTCTACTTTCCAGGCTAAGAAGCCTTGTTTTCTGCTACCATTTCTCAGGCAACGGGATTTTAGACTTTCCAGCAAATAAACCTCTTCTGGGTGTGTCATAAATTTTGAAGAGTGTTGTGTATAGCTTTTTGTATTATTTCAAAAAGATATTAGAGCATGTTAAAGAAGGGGGTTAGGTATAAGAAAGTAATAATTAGGATTTTTCAAAACAGAATGGGCTTTTAACTGTCACCCAAAGGTTAAGAGGTTTTCTACTGTGAAAGAAATGTTGAATTGGAAGACCTTCAAGACCGCTTCCAATTTAAATTTTCTCATTTTGTGACTTAAAACCCCCCAGCAAACTCAAGTGAGAGAGAAATAAGTGAATGTTGAATAATGCATTTGCTCTAAACTAGGCACTCTGCTGTGAGCTCAATGCATTAATAAAAATGTCACTGGTGTATAGGTAGAAATGCAGTCTGCACGGCAGCATCCGTCCGCTTTCCCTGAGTGCTTTTTTAAATCATCAGAGAAGAATTATAGAACATCTAGAAATGGAACTAGACTGGTGGGAACTACCCTACTGTGAATCCAGATAAGGAGCCACGGAGTAGACCATTTCGTGTAGGCATACCCGAATTAGTTTTTATTATTTCAGACATTTTTTGGAATGGATATTTTGGAACCACCTTTTTTGCTCAAGTTAGTCATTATATAGCCTTTAGAAATTGTTAGTAAATATTACTGGCTTTAAGTTTGAATTAATTAGGGTCTTTTGAAAAACAGTTTAAAGCGTAAGTGTCTTAATGCTTATGATAGAGTTGCTTAGAATTAAAGCAATGAGAATAGCTTAAAAGATGACAGGTAAATATTAGAGTTTCTATATTAACCGTGAAGCATGATTGCAGTTGAGAATATCCCGAAGTGGAGATCTTTACTCCTTGGCAAACAAACGTGTTCTGTGGAAGGGCTGGGCAAATCAAACATGAAGCAGACACAAAGGAACTTCTGTGATGTGACACCAAGATAAATAAAGGTTATGAGCACATAAGCACTTGGGATGCTGAGGTCAGTTAGTGAACTGATCTTTTTTTCCCCCTCTTATCTACCTTTGGAAAAACAATTTCCCGCCATGTAAAACTCTTTCCTGCTAGAGCAGAAAATTTGGCCATCCTGTCAAGCTTTCACCAACTCTATTAAATTATACACAAAAAAGGAAGTAGCAGTCACATTCCTTAGCTTCCCAAATGTCCCCATTGTCAAAATGATTCCAGATTTTAAAAATCTATAAAGAAGTTGCTGGTCCACAGAAGTTCTTTTCTTTGATATTCTTATAAATTTAGAAGCTTAGTGACTTTAAAGTACTTAAGTTTTCTCCTTTTTTGTTAAAAGGTAAATTTTTTGTCCCTGATCTCTTGTATCCCTTGTTACATATTAAATAATCCCAGCTGATTTGACTTTTTAAATTTTGTTTTACCAGTACCATCTTTTTTTTCCCTCAGAGTTCTCCTGTCTAACTAGTTGCAATGCTTTTTTTTTTTGCTAGACTGCCCAAAATCTGTTGTACCCTAGAAAAGTGCCTGTGTTTCCCAGTCTGGTGTGGTTGCACTCAGTGTCTGTCTGGGGAAATTAAGAGGTCTGGATGCTGACTTCTCCTCAGGCACAACCACCTACCTGTCAGAGCCCAGGATCACCATAGCATCATGCTTCAGGCCATCTCTGGAAAACCATTCTGAAGGACAGCAGAGATGACGATTCATAGGAAAGCACCCAGATTTTCATGTCAGGGAAGAGTCATTACTACTTACCTTCAATCTCAATAAAGTCATCACAGAGTGAATGGTTAGATGCTCAGGCTCCAGAGCCAGGTTAAGTTTTCACTCTACTGTTTTGTACCTGTGGGACTCCGAACATGTCCTCCAAACTCATTGGGCCTCAGTTTCCATCTTCATATAATGGGGCTAGCAGTGGTACTTAACTCATAGAGTTGATGTGAATTATCATTGGCGTTATTATTATTCCTATAGTAAAAATGTATTTAAAGATATTTGTATTAGCTATGCCAAATACTTAGGAGCCAGTCTTCCAAATAATTTTGGAGATTCCTTACCATTTATTTCCTAAATTTCAAGGACTTACTGGATGGGGAGGAAACTACCACCACTGGTGATAAAAAAGAAAAAACAAGGGAGAAGTCAAGAGTCATCTTTAGGCAGCACCACCTCCTTGTCAGGGTACCTGCCTCTTATTCGGGTCCTTTCGCTGTTCACGATGATGCATTCCCTCGCGTGGGGTTTTATGACAGATTATATAATAAGACGGATTACATGTTAGCATTACTTTCTTGTCATATGCATATGATTGATAGAAACAAAAATCCAAATGTTGCTGTCTACTACATGTACATTATTGACCCTTAAGGTGTCCTAGAATTTTTTTTCAAAGTTTCAACTTCTTTTTCCTATAGCCAACATTAATGTAAATTTCAGGATCAGTCCACAGCAGCTCTCCCCACAGGCCTATCCATTTATGACACTCTAGGAAAGTCAATGCTGAATATAAAAGTATAAATACAACAAAATACTAGAAAAATATATATTTTTTAAGATTTTATTTATTTATTTGATAGAGATAGAGGGAGAGCACAAGCAGGGGGAGTGGCAGGCAGAGGGAGAGGGAGAAGCAGGCTCCCTGCTGAGGAAGGAGCCCAAGTGGGCTCAATTCCAGGACCCTGGGATCATGACCTGAGCTGAAGGCAGCCGCTTAACCAACTGAGCCACCCAGGTGCCCCTAGAAAAATATTTTTTAAGAAAAGTCTTTATTGCACATGTCTATCAGGATACCTCTTGATAGATACGAAACATGATCTGATAAATTTGCAAATACAGTCTCCATATAACTTTTCAGAATCCTGTTGCATTAGTAAGAAATACCTGCATTAAAATAAACCTTTATTTGTCTGTATTTATTATATTTGTTATATATTTCTTTATATTTAAGAGCTTACGGCTTAAGTCATAGGTAGGAAAGAAGCAGTTTATAAAATGGCTCTTTTAAGACCACTGAATTTTCCTTTTTCCCAAACCTGTGGGATTCGGTTTATCTAGCCATCGGGCACTCCGTCCTCCGGAGCAGACGGTTTCCGTTCATCGCAAGGCCTTAACTCAGAATGCGTGCGGACAGTCATGTAAAGTGCGAGCTCTGAGCCCTCCTGGGGGTGTGGGCATAGCAGTCGATGTGTCAGGCTGATGGGTAGGCCAGCAGTTGAAATAGTGTGCGTTCTTTTCCAGTGCTGGCGGCAGCTGTGTTTGCTTTCCGAGCAGTGAACCTGATGGAGGTGACATCACTGGCTGCAGCCGAAGTAAGGATAAGTTTCACTCGGCGGGGCTGGGAATAGTTCCTGAGAGATTGCCAGGCCTGGGCCCTGTAGTCTCAGATGCATAGGATACACATTACTCATCGCCTAATTTTTTAACTCGGGTAAAACCTGTAAGTTTCAAGCTAAGTAATATTAAGTACTCAAGATTCCTTAATCAGTTGAAGACAATCTTCTTGTGAAGGAATCACAAACAAGATTGTTATAGGAAACCATTATAACCATTATGGGGGAAACAAGATACCCAGGAATTTTAGTAGCAGCTATTGGGGCTTGGGTTGCATTTTCTGGTTATTGTTCACATCGTGTATTCTGCTAGAACAAGGAAAAACGAGTTGAGAGAGTTAAAGAGCATGCATTCAGATGATACAGTAAAGATACAAGGTTTTTTGGTTATTTTTAATAATGGATTAATTCTTTAAAGCTGGTTTCTTTTCAATAGTATAATTTATACCTGAAACGTAGTTCAGTTAAGTAGTGGCTTACCATATTACTCTATTTGTTATCTCTCATAGAAATTTAAATTTTACCCTTAAAATAGCTGCCTACATTCTTTGTTTAAAGGGAAGAGGATGTTTATGCATCTTGCAATTGAATAAACATCAGTTCCATCTCAAAATGATTTCCTGAAGCCAGATACTCCGTATACTAGAATAACGGGACCAGGATTCGTAATGTACGTTTATTTATAGAAGCAAGTTGAAATGTTAGACCTCTTATAAACTCCTGCTACCTTGTATATTTGAAGAAGGCTCAAGGCAAAAGTCCAGGTTACTTTCTACTGCACGTTTTAGTATTTTGCACATGTTCTAACATTAAGATGTTCAGAAAAGAGAAGGGAGGTTGTAGCTTCAGTGCAGATTTAGGACACACGTGAAGATCTTAGAGAAGGTGTCAATGCCAGACTTACATTGCAGTGGTGTTTCTGTTGTGGCTTCCTTTGCCCATTAGAATACTGATATTAATAATATTTTCTGGTTTTTTTGTTTCAGGCAGTTCTTGCTGACCTTTCTACTTTAAAAGTTATGCCTCTTCTTCAAATTTTTCTGTTTGCTACTGTCACCTGATCTTCTTCAAGGTCACTGACAACACATCTAGTTTTTCATTAGAAAATAATCATGAACTATGCAAACTCTGCATAAAACCAAAATGAAACTTTGCATATAAGCCAATAAAGATCATGTTCCCTCTTCAGTTAAACCTAAGTAGTTTTTCACTTTTTGAAACAGTAACTCCGCACACCAAATATTGCACTGCATGCTGCTGATTTTCAAGAGAGAAGCAATAGACATAACTTCTGCTAAATTGAGCATACTATATATATACTCCTGACTTGTAAAAGGCATGTAACAATATATGCAATAAGAACTCAAGATACTGTAATAAACTTGAGGTAATGTAGCCTCTGGGACAATTTTCTTCTGCCAGTTTGCAAATTTATCTCTAGATAATGTATCATTTTGTCTTGTAAATTGCTCTTCACTCAGAGCCACGGGTGGCGTAGAAAGTGGGAAGATTTGAAAAAGGTAATGGAATTCAAATGTACTTTGGGGTTCTTAACGACTTTTCTCTCACCGGACATCTTCTAGATCCCCGTCCACTTTATTTCTCCCTGAAAGGTCTCAATGGGGCAGGTCAAATACAGTTGTCTCCATCTGACAGTGTTTTCTTCATCACTTTCCGAAAAAAGAAAATTACAGAGTGATCTCTTCAAACTTCTCAACCTTCCACCTCTTGATTAGAAGACTTGCTGCCAGAGTCTGTTACTTTGGAAGAATGCAAAGAGGACATCCACGGATTCAATGAAGGGAATGAAAAATCAAAGGCATATCCGCTTTTGCTGTATCTTGGTTTAACAAGATTTACTTCCAGGGCAGAGCAGCTGAGAAACTAGCAGGAGGTACGATAAGACATTCATTTTAGAAGTGAAGACATTATGCTGGGCATCAGTCTTATTTTGGTCTTTTTTGTAAGTGAAGGGTTTTATTTTATATCACTTCCTAAAGACCTACCATTTCTGTAATTCGGAATGATAGAATGTGAAAAAAAAAAAAAGTCAAAATTTCAACACAACCTCGAATCAAGAGATTGATGCTCTTACTGAATGCCTAGAATTGTATTAAGTTTTGTCCAGATGTATTTTCTGAGTCTTTTATTTGAAGAGTATATATAAATTAGGAAATGTCTGAGGTTTAGCACAAGACTGCAAGTGTGATGGAGTTTGATAGAATTAGTTCTTAATTTGAAAATCTTTATGCTTTATTCATCAGGTGCTTATTGAAAACAAAATAATTTATTATTCAGTGATTGATTCTTGAGAAACCCCATTTCATTGCTTTTGAAAGTGATTCAGTTATAATCATATGCTTTGCCATTTGAGTGTGTGCAAATGCACATTCATCATGAAGATAAGCACACATCTTTGACTACTATCTCCCTTTCTTCCCTGTTAGAGTTTTAAATGATTAAGGTCAACTGTGTACAGCTACTTTAAGAGAATATTCATAAGCCTTTTTCAAAACAGAAATGTAGTGGTGTAGTAGAAAAACTCTAGACTGAGTTCTTGTCCTAGCAGTGAGTCCCTAGATAATTTAATCTCTCTTATCTGTAATTGAGGGGGTGGAGGGTATGAGGGGCAGGCAATAGGAAATTACTGTACTTGTTCTTGTTTACCTTACCAGGTTGAGTAAGACTAAATGAGAAGATATATTTGAAAGTGATTGATTTTTAACTGCAAAGCACCAAGCAAATATAAGTTGTTGTTGCTATTAATTTTAAATATGACATTTTAAGGCCAAATGGTAGAAGATACATATGAAGAATGCTTAACTTCATTAACATCTGATTGACTTTATTTGATAATTTGAGACTGTGACTATAAAAAATGAAATCTGGAACATGGCAGAGCAGACCCTTTCATCTGAAACGGGTGCCTCCAGCCAGCAGAGCTGAATCTGAACCCCAAAGGTTCACATTTTGCTACACATTTTGCTGCCGTCACAAGCCCCTCTCGGCTGTGCTTAGCTGCTCGTGGAAAATAGCGCATCAAGGGCATTTGGGCTGTGTTGCCCCCTCTGCCTCTCACAGCACTCCTTACACTGCCCCTCTTGGCTTCCTTCCTCCTGTGTCCTCCTACGCCACCTCCTCCCAACCCCCGAAGCCCCCACATATGCTCTGCTAGTGGTCACAAGGACCCGAGTGACCAGTGTTAACCAGGTAATCTTTCTATCTGCAGCATTCACACTGATGGCGAAATAAGCTAGTAGGCAAATTGTATTCGGCTCTCCTGGACTTCAGTTCACCCACTAATGTAACATGTATGACTTTATATGATGGAAGAGTTTATTGAACAGTCTCTCTGATAGAACATTTTGGTAGTGCAGCACTCTGGCTAATTGCAATTTCCAGCTGGTCTTAGCAGCATAGCACCCTCTTACACTCAGCAGGTATTCTCTCTTCCTATTTCATAGAGAAAATAAAGACCATTAAGGTTGAACCCCCTCAGCCTTCTGCTTCAAACTTAGCTTTATTCTCCCTATACTCATCTCCTTCCTTCTACTCTCCAGAAGTGTCTAGTCTATTCCTACAGCTCTCTAAATACAGGCTCGGTTTTTCACTTCCATGCTTAAGAATTCAACAACACCCTATTGCTTCAAGGATGAAGTCTGGCCTTGTAGCATAGCAGGAACAATTCTCCACAGCTTGGTCTTTCCATTCCTGGGCCCCCACTCTGATCCATTATCCTACACTTCAGTGTCACCAGGTTACTTGCTCATCTTCAACCAGCTGTGGCCATGCCCTTTGTCTCTGCCAGAAGGACCTCCATATTTCAAGGCCCAACTAAAAAAAATCTCTCTTGTGAAGACACCCTGGAGTCTGTATTTTGGAATAATTACGCCCTTCTCTTTGTTCTCATAAAACTGCTCATCCACTAATATGGGTGCTAAGAATATTGAGTGACAGTTTTTTGTACGCATGTTGATTCTCACGTCACTTATTCTGAAGTCAGTATTCATTGACTGGTCCTAAGTATGGAGGATGAAAAAAGAATTTGTCTGTTGTGTTTGTATCCCCTGACTTATTCTAAAAATTGTTGGGATCTGCTTTTCTTAAAACATAATTCCTCCTAAGTATCTACTAGTCTCCCTTCTTCCACAAAGGCTCTAATTTTTATTTGGAGATTTCCCCCCGCCCTAGCACCATATGCTTCAGATGAGGCTGACTCCACCCCAGGACCTCTGGTCCTGGTCAAGCCAGTCACCATGTACCATCCCTCTTGGCCGCAGGGATTGCTTCAGGATCAGTGCAAAAATCTAAGACCAATGAGGACCAATGAAACGTGATTACAAGACTTTGGTTTAATCTTTTGGGACAGCTGGGTATCAAAAAGAGAGGATATAAGGTCTACAGCTGCAGCCTAGAAATCGAAAGCATGAAAAGCTGCTCTGTTGACCTTGTTGATCCCCCAGTCACATTCCACCAACCTGCCCCTGGACTGTTTCGTTACCTGAGCCAAAAGATTCTTTTTACAACAGAAAGGATCCTAACTGAAGGTGCAGTTATTTTACCTTTTAGATGGCCCACTACAACATGAGTATCATTACGTGGTACAGGATTCCTGTCTACACACTGCTTAAACTGGAGGAATCTTTTTTTAACTTTTTTTCAGTCAAGACACACCATGACCTTACAAGGATAAATTCTATGTTCCAGACCTACTGAGCCACCTGAAGTACCTTAAACACACAGTATGTCTCTCAACTTTGGCCCTTTGCCCATATAGCACCTCTGCTTAGAATGCCTTCTCTTCCCTCTTTACTGAACTCTTGCTTGTACCTCAAAACCCAACTCAGGCGTTGCATCATCAGGGAAGACTGCTTTCTTATGAATTCTCCTCATACATAAGTTATATCATAATCATATGTTAGCTTGTCTTTCTTCCACTAGACTATAACTCCTTAAGGGCCAAAATGGTTTCTTTTTCAGTTTTATATCTCTAGAACTGGCATTGTGCTTGCCCCATAGTGGGCTTTAATAAATGTTTGTTGAATGAACAGATGAAATCATGTAACCTAATTCACTCATTTTACTGATAAGGAAACTTGCCCAGTTCAGAGTAACAACTTAACTTGTTCAGTGTCACACGACTACTTTACCCACTAAGTTGACTTGTGGAGTTGCCTCCACAGGGAGAATATCTTCCCTTCCAAAAGAAAAGAATATCTCGAGAGAAAAAAACACTTCATAACATTATAAGCACTTCATAACTTTAGAAACACTTCATTTTTGCATTTAAATCCACTTTACTAAGGTATAATTTATGTACAGTAAAATGTATGCATTTTAATTTTACAGTTCTATAAGGTTTAACACACGTATAGACCCATATCACCATCACCACCACAATCACTTGTAGTATACGACATTTCCATTATCTGAAACAATTCTCTTTAAAGCCTGTTCCCATTTGATCTCCCATTCAGGCAACCACTCATCTGCTCTGTCTCTAAAGTTTAGATTGGTCCTTTCTAGAGGTGCATGTAAATGGCACCCCACATATGTACTCTTTTTTGTCTGGTTTTTTTTGCTCAACATAATGTTAGAGATCCATCCATGTTGTGTGATTAGTTGTCCATTCCTTTTTATTACTGAGCAGTATTTCATTGAATGACTATTTCATACAGTTTGTTTATCCATCATTGTTAAGGGCATCCATGTCCTCATATCTTGGTGTATTATGGACACAGCCACTATAAACATTTGTGCGCAAGCCTTTATGTGGACGTAGATCGTCCTTTCTTTTGAGTAAATACATAGGAGTAGACTTGCTGAGTCATACGTGAGCATAAATTTAACTCTCTAAGAAACCTCTAAACTCTCTTCTGAAGTGGTTCTACCATTTTACATTCCTACCAGCAGTGTGTAAGAGTTCTAATTGCACCAAATCCTCACCAACACTTGGTATTACCATGTTGATCATTCCAACAGGTGGTTTTACTTTGCATTTCCCTGATTACTAATGATGTTGAGCATCTTTTCATGCTTATTTGCCATGTATACATATTCTTTTTTAAAAAATATTCAAATATCTTGCCCATTTTTAATTATCTTAAGTTGTAAGAATTTCTTATTCTGGATACATTTACGTCTTGTAACATTTTCTCCCATCCTGTGGCTTATCTCTTAATTTTCTTAAGTATCTTTTAAAGAGCAAAATTTTTAATTTTATTGGATCAGTTTATCTTTTTTCTTTTATGGCTCATGTTTTTTGTGTCCTATCTAAGAAATTTTTCCATAACTGAAGGTCACAAAGATTTTTTTCCTATGTTTTCTTCTAGAACCTTTATAGCTTTAGCTCTTACATTTAGGCCTATAATCCTTTTTTTAAGTTAATTTTGTGTATAGTACAAGAGTTAAGGATTGAGGGTCATGTTTTTGCATATGGATATGCAGTTGTCCCAGCACTATTTGCTAAAACAAAACATAACAAAACAAAAACACACACACACACACACAAAACTATCCCTTTTATGTCAGCACCTCTGTATAAAATCAGTTGATCATATATCTGTGGGTTTATTTCTGGACCCTATTCTGTTCCATGGATTTATGTCTATTCTTCTCCAATACCACACTGTGTTAATTTTGCACCTTTAGAGTAAATCTTGAAATC